ACAGTTTTGTAGAGCAAAGTTTAGTCTAGCTTTTAGTACAGTTCAAGATAGTTCACTGGTAAAAGAAGTTACGATAATGCTACAATCGCCATGGGTTAGCCGTTCATTTGTTATAAATTCGTTCAACATAGATTTTATTGATAGAAACGCCTGAGTCACAATGGTGTTGTAATAAGTAAAAAAGGGGGAGCTGGAGCCAATTTGTTCTAAGGGTTTTGTCTTCACTGCTGTTTTGAGCTTGCATTTGCAAATAGCGAAGTAGCCTTTCTATTTATTTAGGTAGTTATAAAGAATACAATAAAACCCCTAAACAATGCAAAAACGTAGAAAAGATAAAAAGAAATTAAAGCCTGAGTCATTTATAAAAATAATTGTTTTACGAAAATCAGACATATGAAGATAAACTGAATGCAAATAGCAGTAAAAAATTTGAATCTGTATAGGTCTTCCGTGTGTTTTTCACTTGTCTTAAAAGTTTCTTATAACGAAAAACACGTTGTCAATCAGTACTAAAACCTTTTTTTAATAAAAAGCTCGTTTGTAGCAATAAAAGTTATACAAAATTAACCTATTCACAAATCAATTGCATTCTGTTGAAGAGCATTTTTGTTCAACGACACGTTGTAATATAAGTTTCCAAAGCCACCTTAAATACAATCCTTTTTCAGAAAGGTTCAATGATTGTTTTTTCACAGTACTCAAGAAAATACAAAGATATAATGAAAGAATATTTAATTTCTATCAATTCTTCTTTTTCTACACAGTTCTCACTTCCAAAAAGTATGGAAGAAACTTAAAAATTAAAAAATATTAATATCTTGTCATCGCTTTGAATACAACAGAATTGAATCGCCTAGAACTGTCTTGAAAAGCTCAGTAGTATAATGAAGAAGAACCATGCGTGGCAGGCTGTCCTAATGAGTAGGCCGTCTTATCATTCAAACTTAACAACTACTCAAGTATACCATTTGGAAGCATATACAAATATAACCACTTTCTGCAAAGCTTTCTTTGTAACCTATTCAATGGCGAAATAAAATATGATTTAAAATTTTACCTATATATTTATCGTTAGCAATATTCAGCAGCTGCAGTTTTATCTCGTTTAATGTGTAAAGTACCTACTTTGTTAGGAACTGAAACTGCTCGACGCCAAAAAAAGCAAGTTTTCTGTGGCATATTATAAGATTTTTAAAGTCCTGCTTCTAATTCGATTTTCTAAAAGTCAAATTTGTAACAGTTATTTATTAATTTCCCTGTATAATCACATATTTTGTTGGCAACTGTTGCATCTGTCTTTGCAGTTACCTCTACAATTTTCTTTTGTTTATTATAGTGTTTGCACTAACTACTTTAGCATTTCAAAATTTTGATTTTTCTTTTTTCGACTTTGAAACTTTAATGAGTAAGTGAATAATTATTAT